TATTATATAAAATAGAAATCTCATATTTATTATTATCATCATGACTATGATTATTATAATTAAAATTGTTGCTGCCTTTAAGTATTATTTTCATAATTTAATAATTTCATATATCAATTCAGTAATTACAATTAATACAAAAACCAATTAAAATCTAAAAGAAATTATTGAAAATAAAATAAAATAATTGAATCTCATAGAATATTAAAAATTATTCAATTCTATACTTTTATTAATATAATTTATATTAGTGCATTAAGAACAATGTAACTATCTTTAAATTAAAAAGTACATTTAATTTAAAAAAAAAATTAAATGATTAAAATTTATATATAGTGTATTAATATTGTGCAATATGCTTTATTATCATTCTTGTACAATATATTAATGCAAGTTATTAGTTATAATTTTATTTCGTTGTTTTTTAATATTTTCTTATTCAATTCCTGATTTATCCGATTTTTTTTTTTAAATAATAATTTAAACAAAATTCAAGTATTTAATTCATTAAAAAATATAAAGAATTATGAATATATTTATGAAAATTATTTATAAATTTCATGTTTATGATTTGAATCTCTTAAGGAAAAAAAAAAAATTTCTTTTATTATTGTTTTTACAAGAAAATTTGTACACTTTTAATAAAGATTAATTTATAAAATTTATTGGTTATAGAAAAATTAAAAAATTCGAAAATTAATGTTTATATTATTTCTACATTCAATAATAATGTTTTTTATTATGAAAAATTAATATTGTTGAAATGATACATTAAAATTTATACACATTAAATTAAATGTAATAAACATCATTGTATAATTAATGTAATTACTGAATGAAATAATAATTTTATATTTATCTTATTAACTTTTTTAATTAATAATTAACGGCATTTGCTTTAAAAAAACAATCTTTGTCTCTTGGTGCTATACTTGCCTAAATGAACAATCAAGTTCCTCTTTTGAATATAATGGAATTTAAAAATAGAAATAAGAAATCAAAAATTTATATACTATTTATAGAATCCTGAACATGACTGGTAACTTCAAAATTATTAATATTCACAAATAAGAAAAAATAATAATATATATAAAACACTTTTACAAAATGAATTTATGATAGATAAATATGTACAATCATGCATAGATAATATACCGTAAAAAATAGTTTACCACTGTTTAATTAATGCTAGTGTTGATATGTTAATAAAATTTTTTATTAATTAGAACACACAGTTGGAATAACAACATGTACTATACTTTATAACAAAGGACTGATCGTGCAAAAAAGACTTATCTGTTTACATAAAATCTTTGCTATTATTAAATACTAATAATTCTCTAATAATAAAATGCGAATAATTATAAATACATTACTATGTATATGTATAAAGTATTTAATAACATTATTAGTTGATATTATTATTATAATATTATTACATTAAAATACTTATTAAATTGTAAATTATCTTGTAATTTTTTATATTCTTTTGAAGTATACCTGCACGAACAGATCCTAATATTTTTAATTTTGCTACAATTTAAAATTTTTCGATATATATTATTATAAGTTTACATTTTAAAATTTACACTAAAGTATGCATAAAAACATACGAAGCGAAGATTTAAATAATTTAATTTGTTATGGCTTTAACTTTTTTTATATTTAAATATTTTATGCAAATTACTTTTAACAATTTATATATTATATATTTCGTCTATGCTAATAAACTAATTCAACTTTTCAAATATAGTTTCATTATCATTATTAAGTAATTCCTTTTAATTTAAATTTAATATTTGTTATAATTTAATTTAAAATGTATATGATATTAAACATATAAAAAAATAACTTAAAAATTATGTTCGCGCGCGTATTTACTTGAAAAAGATTAATGACTTTTGATATTATCAAACAGTGTTACCAATATTATTTTCATTATCAGAATCTCATAGATTTGATATAAGAATTTAATATTATAAATATATAATGTTTAGTTTTATTTTAAAAAAATATATTATTATTTATACATTAAATTGAATTTTGAATAATAATTACAATGTCTCTTCTTCGCAAAGGACAGGTATATCATTTTAAATAATTTGTTTATTTTTTATAACATTATTTTGTATATTTTGGATACTATATCATAATGCACTTTTTTAATTTTTTTAATTTACTTTATTTTTATAAAAATTCATTACATAAAATAAATAATTTAAGTTTTATTATGTTTTGCAAAAAATTTTAGGTTAATGAATATTCTTCATATTTTTTAAAAAAAATTTTAGTAAAAACATTTAAAATATTTTTATAGAGATTCCTTTTCAACATTATATTAATTAATAATAATAAATAATTTCAAATAATTTGATAATTATAGTTATATAGTATATAATTATAATAATTTAAAGTGATTTTTTTATGTATGATTTTATTTAATTCTTATGATCCATTTATATTACATATAGCATTGGGGTACTTTTTCTATTATTTGGCATATATTTGATGCAACTTGGCAAGATCCATTTCAAAGTGCACCTTTAATTAAAAAATATCTTATGGGATTATACAAACCTATATATCATCCATTGAGTAAGTAAAATTAGTAAGTAAGTAAAAGTAAAATTACAAATATATTACTATAGTATAAATAATAAATAATAAATTTAACTTATATGATATTCTGAAATAGAATATTATATTTTTCATTTATAAATAAAATATTTCTATATTTTTATATAGATAAATGTGGTGATCATGTAATAATAATAAATAGTAAAAATATTGCATTACGAGGAGATGAATGGCAAAAACGGGTGTATTTTCATCATAATACATACATTGGTGGTGCTTCTTGGACACTTGCTTGGGAATTACATAGTAAAGATCCTACTTTGGTAATTTTCAAATTTTTATAAAATATAAATATATTAAAAGATTATAATATGTTTTATTATTATCTATATTTCATTTATGATAATATATTATTATAATATACAGATTATTAAGAAAGCAATTTATTCTGCAATGGATGGAAATTTACAAAGAAGATATACTATGGAAAGATTACATATTTTTCCTGATGAAAATGTTCCTGAAGATATGTTACAAAATGTTACCAACCAGATCAAGCAATTAAGACCTATCCCTGTTAAATTATGTGATATTTCACAAGAGGAAAGAGATAAAATTCCACGACTCATAAAATATCCTATTGATTATCAGCTCAAATAGTTGTAGTTATGAATTTAAAATAAAATAATTGATATTTTAAAAACTTTGTTTTTGCAATTTAATAAATTATCAAATTAAACTATTAAAAAAGTATTGAAAAATGAATAATAAAATTGTTTATAATTATTTATTATTTATTGATTATTGATAATTGACCTTTAGGTTTCAATCTACTTTCCAAAATTTTTTGTTCTTGGGCTTTCTTTTCTTTGATTAAGTTAGCATGTCGTTCAACTGCATAATCAATTTCACCAACTAGTTTAATAATTCTTTTCTGTAAATTAAAGATTTTATTAATTATATTATTTTAAAATTTAAATATAAAAACTTATTTAAAAGTACCATAAAATCTTGATGTTTTTTTATACGTTCAAGTTGTCCTGAACCATATGGAACAGGTTTGTTATTTTTAAAAGAGTAATCACTTGAATTTACCAATAAACCATTATTATTTGGATTTGCTGATAAACCTTTCCTATAATTATTAAAATCATTTTATATCTCATTTAGGACATTTCATACAAATTACAATTTATAAATCTATATTTAATAAAATTTTTTCTTACATTTTTCTCCAGTTTTGATTTAAATATATTATAAAAGATGTATGAAATTTATTAATAAACACAGTCAAGTCTAAAAAATATAACACTTTAAGAATATATTTAATTGTAAATATTTCAATGATGTAATAAACTTAAAATTTTTAATAAAATGCAAATAATATTATTACAATTTTTTATTATTTTTTTATATTTAAATAAATTTTAATGGATGAAAATCAATTTTTTACAGTTATATATTTTAAATTAATTTATAAAATATAAAACATTATGATATACTAACTCGTAGGCCGATCTATTTGAAATATTGTTTTAATCTTAAACAATAACATATTATTTCAAATATTTAACAAATATTTATAATATTTTATAAAAGTAATACCATAGATAATATACAATATAGATTAAACATTCAATACATTTTTCTGTACTTCGTGGATATTACATTCTAATCATTTTAGCATTATTCTCAATATTATCGATTTAGTTAGAAATTTAGAATCATATCTGTATTGCAATATTAATAATAGTTGGAATTGAAAATAATTTCAATGTAAAATTACAAATAAGAAACAGAATCTTTTGTTATAAAAATTAAATTTCATTAACTAAATGTTATAACTAAATATTTGCATCAAAATATATCATTATATAATTATATATCAAGATATATTATATTTTACAAAATCATTGTTTTAAAGAAGATATTGAGAATATAATATTTATATTTTTTAAAAATTAAGACATTATAATTTAAAAAAAAAATGACTATCATTAATATTGTAAATGCACCAAAAACATTATTCGCCAAAAGTAAGACAAGGAGAGTAAATAGTAAAAGAAAGATAGAAATGAGTTAAAAACAGCGCCATCTCTCAGAATATTATAGAAATTAATATAGACAAGAAAAGTAAATAATAGAATAAAGACAGAGATATAATAAAAATTCGAGAATCAACGCCATCTTCAGAGTGCCGCAAATTAAACACAAATAAAAAAGATAGAAGATAATGGGAAAAGGATAGAAAATAAGAATTGATTGCAAACGCCATCTCTCAGGTACCAAAGACACTTTTTCAAAAGAGAGGATAAAGTAGACTAGGAATCGAAATTCAGCGTCATCTTTTGGATATTAAGAGAACTCTAAATAAAAGTTTTCGAAATACTCGAAAGATAGTACCATTGATCAATTCTAATTCTATCTCTATCTTTTTCCCATTATTTCCTGTCCTTTATTTGTGAGTTTTATTTGCGGCACTCTGAAGATGGCGCTGATTTCAATATTTTTATCCTATCTCTGTCCTTCTCTATATATTTCCTCTTTTCGTCTAACCTATTGATTGAATGTCTATCTTTAATAGAGAACGCTTTATTTTTGACTAAAATTTTATTTATTTTATTAATTAAAATATGAAAGCAATTGTAATAATATTCTTTATTTTCCATTGAAAAACGTAATAAGCCGCTAACGTATGATTTCAAAAATAAATGCAATATTAAAAAAAAATTTATTAATGTAAATATAATATAATATATTGTTTGAAACATTCTATTTCAATAATTCTGAATTAATCGAAAATTAATATTAATTAAAAACTTAAATATCTTTATTTTTAATAGAATTTTGGTTAAAATTTTACAAAGTAAGATAAAGTAGAATAGAAATCAAATAGTGACATCTCTTGAATGTTCTTTACTCTAGAAATGAGAAAGATATCTTTCATATCTAAGAGATGGCACCAGTGACCAATTCTTATTCTATCTCTATCCTTTTTCTACTATCTTCTGTTCTTTTTTCGTGAGTTTCATTTGTGGCAATCTGAAGATGGCGCTGATTTCAATATTTTTACACTATTTCTATCCTTCTCTGATTACTTGTTTTCCTTGTTTATATTAATTTTATTTGTAATTTTTTTTAAAGATGGCACTGTTTTTATATAACTAAATTTTTATCCTTTCATTATTTGCTTTGTAAAATTTTATGTTTAAGAGATAATTTCAATATCTCATTAATGTTAATTTTATTATATATTAATATAATAATTAAAAAATTTATAATTATAATTTAATATATGTAATATATACAAATATTTATGAAAAAAAAAACATAATTTTTAAAATTTGTTAACTTTATCAACTTTTGTAATTGAATTGAATATAATTGCTATATTCATTCTAAATCATAATAAATATAGCAATTATTTTTTGCATTTTCATTATTAGTATTTTAGAGTATAAGACGTAAAATTTTTATTAAATGTTAATCTATTTTGTATTTTGTCTATGATTATAATTCGTATGTGATATTTTGTATTTCTATATTAATTTTATATCATTTAAAATTAATAATTTAGAATTTAGAAACATTTTTATAAATAAAATCATAAAAATCATTATTTTAAATTATAAAAATTTCTAATTTTTTGATCAATAATTTATCATATGTAACATAAAATTCCCATAAAATTGAAATTATGCTAAATTTTGTCTGTGATTTTATTTTGGTTGAAAAATTGTAAGGGTGGCAATAGAGTTAATTATTTATCAACAAACTTCATAACTGTTATTATTTTCGTACAGATAGTGGTGTGTATCTATGAACATAGTATAAGTTGGATGTGGAAAGTAGAGGATTTTGTACGTGAAACGTTATTAAACGTTCAAATCCAAAATGACATCCGTGGACTCTGGAATTGAAACAAGTAATAACTCCGACGATAGTTCGATTGCTCAAAATGAAGATATAGTAACCGAAGAAATTAATAATGATTCAGCTTCTGCAATGATAACTAATAATCAAAATGAAGTAGAAGAGATTAGACCGGGCATTTTTCATACGAAATTTAGTTCAGATTGGTCTCTTTGTTTATCAAATAGCAATGTCCAAAATTCCATACCAACAAGTAGTTCAAGACCACGTTTCGATGTATCTCCTAATAATGTAAGTATTGTTTTTTTTAAAAATATTATTTTTATATGCATTTATATTTTAATAATCGATTTTAATTATTTTTTATTAAATATTTGTATTAAAAATATAAAATTTATTAAATATAAAATTATTTAAATAAGTTCTTATAAAATAAATTTTATTTACTAATAATATTAGTATTAATTTATGTTAAAATATAATAAATAAATAAATAATATAATAATGATTGATTTTCATTATTAAAGATATATCATAACAATCATAGGAATTGATTTTTAATGTTTAAAATATATTATTAAATATAATTTGTTGCAGGTTTTAGAGATTAAGTTTCCTTTGAGATGTAAATCTAAAACAGCAACAGCCAGGTCTTTTTTAGTAAATAGTAAGTTATATTTATAAATTTCTTAAATATATATTATTATTAACATTTATTATTACATATATTATTTAAAACAAATTCATATTATTTTAATTATTTATTTTAATATTTATAAATTTTGTTTGAAATTTTCATAATAATAAATAATTAAAATATATCAAGCAAATATGAATGATTATATATATAACTATTATATTATTTGAGTATAATTATATTTATTCAAAATTAAAAATGCAAATTCAAAAAAAAAATATATTAACTAATATTTAAAATTTTTTATTTATTATCTAGATATTATTCAATTTTATATTTTATATATATTATTTTTTTTTTAGGAAATGTTTATTATAGGAAAATAAAATTTGTCAGTGGGGCACGTAAAAATCATCATCTTGTTCCTATATTTGATGTTCATACCCGTCTCATTGAACACAGAATGAGAATTGCTGCGGCAACAAACAATACCATAATGATGAGAACTCTTTTAAATTCTGGTGCTTCTCCTAATACTTGTGATGCACAAGGAAGAACTCCTCTTCATCTTGCCTCTTGCAGGTAAATGAACAATATATTTAATATTTATTATCAATTTGTAATAAATTTATTAATTTATAAAAATATAAAAATAAATAAAGACTCAATTAATCAATATAAAACTATTATTAACATATTAATATATAATATATTAATAAATATTTATTTTTTAACTTTTTAAAAAAAAAATTTTGTATTGTCTATTGGATACAATATTATATATATATAATATATCATATATATATATAAATAATGATATATTTTTTACAGAGGTTCTACAGAAATGGTTCGTTTATTATTGGAACATGGTGCAGATCCAAATCTTCGGGATTCTGTAGGTAATACACCATTACATTTAGCTGCTGTAACAAGCAAAATATCTGTGGTGACACTTCTTTTAAATGCGGGAACGGACCCTCTATGTTTGGACCAATATGGTTATAATCCATTACATTTAGCGCAGACAAAATTAAAGTTATTACAAAATTGTGAAGGAGAAGCTATAGTGAAAATTAAAGAAGAAGTTCAGAATATAGTTAGTATGTTATTGGCATATTTGCAAAAGCACAAAGATTCTCATAAAAAAATGGAAACTTTGAGCACTTTATGTTCGCGTTTATCTTTATCGAACACATCCAATCAAGTTCAGGATGATGTAAAAGACTTGTTGGCTAATTTAGATGCTTTATCAATAACACAGTAATCTCATATTTACATTAACAAATTATTAATTTTATAAATAAATTGAATATGATATGGAACTCAAAGAGGGATCAATATGAATTAAATTTTTAGTTATGCGATAATAACTTAATTTTTCTTTTTTAATTATTCAATTTATATTGAAAAATATTTCTCTTAATTTATATACACGTGAGATAGAGTTTTGATGTATAGAATTATAACCACCATTGATTATAGGAGTGTTAAATCGATAAAGTAAAATATTGCTAATTAAAAACTATTATATTGCTATTATTTCTGTAAATAAATATTTTTAATATTTTTACAATCCTTATATTCTGATTCAAATGACTAAAAAATATTTTTTTTCATTTATCGTTAAATTATATTTTATATAATCAAATTGTTTATTAATTAGATTTGACACTCTTTTCAAAAGTAATTCAGTAAAAAATTTTTAACCAAAAGACATTTAAAAAATAATAATTTCTATAGGTTAAAGAATAGTCAACATTGGAATAAAAATTTTCAATTTCATTTTGACCTCTAATTGCTATTGTTCCATATTTTATTAGTAAGTATTGTTTTGGTTGAGTGTATTTACAAAAACTAATGCAGATTTGTTACGAAAAATCATATAGTAACACATTATATATTAGTAAATCAAATATATTTATATGTTAGAAAGATAATTCACTATAAATTTTAGTTCATTTTTTTATTGTATGCTAACAACAAAAGATAATTCTTTTTATATTATTTAACAAGTTAATTTAAAAAAAACATTAAGCAACTGTAAAGTACAATTTTAAAAATATATATATTACAAAATTTTATAAATTATGCTCTAATGAAAGAAATAATTTATTTGGAATCACTTTAATATGTTTTCTTAAAATTAAAAACTAATGTTTTAAATTATATTTATCAAAATCACAAAGCTGCAAATAGAGTGTAAAAGTGAAAGCTAAAATATATTTTATCCTTTATAGACTTATTTAACTAAATATCTTATTTTTATAAACTTCAAAAATTTTGAAAGAAAGAATTTTATTTTTTTAGTAATTTCTTTTTTTGTGTTATAATATTTTCTATACATATTTTTTATTTTTAAATTAAATATTTTAAATATTTTATTTTCATACTGTTTAAATTTTCACACAATGGAAAATAGTAAATATTTATATAACAAAAATAGATTATAAATATATAGTATATATTCCGTCCGAACTAAATCTGATCAAAAAAAAAATATAATATTATTAGAATTTTAAATAAATATTATCACTTAATGAATAAAATATATCTTTTTAATATATTTTTTAAAACGATATTCTTATTTATTATTTTTCATAAGAAAAATAGAAGGAACATTGCAATACATTTTAATACTTTCTCAAAATATGTAAAATATTGTGCAATATATATTCTAATTGCGCGATCATATTCTAAAATAACTTAGAAGTTTTAATAATACATCAATTTTAAATATTGCAAGTATTATATTGTCCTCTATTTGCAGTCTTGATATTAATTACATAATAAGAATTATATAAATATGTAAATCAGTGAATAAAATATATTAAGTTCAGACTTTTAACAGTTTACCTCGCATATATATCTTTTATATCGATACTTTTAACTGGAAAGAAATGAAATATTTAATATCTAATATTAAGATTTTATATAATTTCTAACAAAGTGTTCATCTATAAATAACATTAAATAAAATTAATTAAATGAATTTCTGCTTGAATAATACACTAATTTTTATTTTTACATTATATTAATAAGATAGAAAAAGTTGGTGTAAGTTTTCAAGTATAATGTAATGGATTTTATTAGACATGCGCTAAAAAATAAAATTAAAAATTCAAATTAATAAATATCTATAATTTTTCAAATATCAAATTTTAAAAATCAGATTTTATATATATTATAATATCAGTTTTGCTGTGATAGAAATACAATTTATGATCGCGATATTTCTCTAAGAATAGAAAAAACAATCGTGAAGGATCATGTTTGTATTAACTATCCATATATATTTATATAAACATGTAAACAACTTATGTAACTACTTTATATACGAACTGTAAATACGTAATTTTTTGTTAGCAGTACTTATAGCAAATCAATAAAAAAAAAAAGTATCTTGTTTTATAGGAATTTACGTTCATGTAAGACTTTCCCTTTATATAAACTATTACAATTGAAGAAAAGATTCTTTATGTAGTGATATATATTTCAAATTCATACTTCAATTTTTATTTTCTTTTATTATTTTTATTTATTTATTTTTTTTTCATTATATCATGATTCATATTTAAACACACACACACACACACACACACACACACACACACACACACACAAACATTAAAAGAAATGTCGTTGTATAAAATCAAAAAAAAATTTGATTTGTTGAATTGAAAAAAATTTGTAACTTTCTTCATATTGATATTAAAATAATTAATAAAAAATTTATTTTTTATCTTTATTTTATTACAAACGCGGTCATATTTTCTTATATCTCTTATTATTATATTTATATTATTTCAAAAATAAATTTCTTATTTGATTAAAATTATATTTTATGAAATATAATTTTGTTATTATTATTATAAAATAAAAATGGATTAATATCTTGTAACTTTATAATACTCAAAATTATAAAAGTGACTCATTATAACTCACATTTATATTTCAATATCTTATATATTGTCAACTATAAATATATAAATTTTAAATATGTTAATGTGCAAAATTAATCACGAAATGATAATGATTTTATGTAAAGAAATTTATTATAATTATTATTATCTATATTTACTATTATATTAAATAACTCTTATTGTTCTCAAAAACATTAACAATCATGTCGCCAAAAATTGCGGAATAACAAAAATCAATTTTATACATTATATATATTGATTTTATAATGATAAATAATTTTTATTTCATTTTGAGTAGTAATGTAACATTTTTTTAATAGCTTATAGAATATATAAGTAAAAATTTAACTATTTTTTTTTTATAATGATTAGTCGAATTCTGGACAATATAATATACATAAATGAAATAAATTAATAGGAACAAAAATTATAAAACAGAGTTACATTTGTCAAAAATTTCGCAACAAATATCGAACAAAGATGTCATTTAAAATATTACGCTCGATTTAGAAATCCTTACTAGTCACATTTTTATAATAATATATGCTTATTCTTAAAATTTTTTATCATTGATTAAATATCAAGTATAATAATATACATACATATGAAATAATTTTAATATAAAAAAAAATTAATTTCAAAAAAAAAAATAAATTTCTTTAAAAACAAATAAATCTTATTGTATTGTAAACATTTGAAATATTAATTGATGAAATCAAAAACTAGCAAAAATTATGACTAGAAAGGAAAAAATTGAACTTTTCGTAAGCGTGAATAATTATGAAAGATAATGATATTATTCTATTATATTACAAGCATACCACCAAAATATTTTTGTAGAATTAATTCTAATTGTATGCATATTAAATACATTTATACATAATTTATTTACGTCATAATAGATTTGATTATTTTTTATATGCTAAAAAAACAAATTGATTGTCTGAAGATAACAAATAAAACTATTTTGATATTTCTATTTTTTTTTAATCTTTAAGAGAAAAATTATTTTATATTTTTGATCTATAAAGACATATTAATATTTTATAAACATTTTTGTACTGTACAGCGTTACAACAACAATTAAAATAATAAATATACATAATTTATTTTTTTATATAATGAAAAATTTAATTCTTCGAAATAGATACGAATGTACAAATTGATCATTGGCATTTATAACACAGGTACGAACAGAGAATTTGGCACAAATTAAAAATAGAATAATAAAACTCTAAAAGAAAAAAAACAGAGAAAATAAGAATTCTATAATTTATAATTCTTAATTATCTTTACGCATTTCTTGGCACAAATTTACAACGCCATAATTATAAAACAATATAATTTATACAAATTATAATTATCAGTACGTGTGTATATCGTTATTATTTCTATTTAGCAATTAAAAGAATATCGACGAATTTTTTTATGAATAAATGATGAATAAAAGTTCTTAGTTTCAATATTAAAGCACGATTATATAATAATACGCAAGATAATTTTTGCAACCTTATTCTAATATTATGAAATTTGTCTCTACATACATGATATCAAATATTTCTTTGGAATACTTCCTTTATAGTACGTTTTTTTTATTTGATAATCGTACACATCAGTGAATCAAATATAATATTTTTAATTTTTCGCATATTATTTGTTAATTAATATGATATGTTCTTATATATAACAAAATATTTGTTAATATAATATAATTCCGAAAAAATATCTTGTAAGACCAAAAGATAATAACTGTGCGTTATATCAAAAGATTGACATACTTTTTTTAATCTAAAATACAGCTAAAATACAGCTACAATATTTGAGCACTATCGCGATTAAATTAATACTATATCAACAATATTTAGACCGGGTAACAATAACAGCCTGGTCCATAAAATACTTACAAGCTTAAAAAATTAAGATCTTTATATAAAATCGTTCAAAATTAATTCTCTTGTGCTTATAATGGAAGTCATTACATAATAATACATTAATTCTATACAATTATTTTAAGAAATACATCATTGAAAGAATAAATGAGAGATACACCTAATCATCGAATTACTTATATTTATTATATTTTTATAACATCAATATAATTAAAAATGGAAATATATCTTATTTTCTTCTAAAAAAAAAAAGATGTATTATATTGAAATATATTTTTAATAAAATAAAAAATAACAAATATAGTAAATCTGAAAATTAAAAATTAGTTTATCAAATAATTCTTTTCAATAAAGCAAATATAAAATAAAAATTTTTTCAATTATATATTAAAACAAAATCTTTATTATTTAAACTTTTATTATATGAATACAATATTTTTTTATAAAAATATATTTTCTTATTAAATTTATTATGAAAAAAATAATAATAAAATAGAAAAATCTATTAATAAACATATTGTTCTAGTAACAAGCTAACAAAAAAAAAATGAATTCAACAGCTTTAAAAAAATCATGTTATATATTAATTCATAAGGATTTTAATATACAATGTTTACGAAATTATTACGAAGTATTTATTAGAATTTTAAATGAATTTTAAAAAATTAATAAATACATATAAACACAGATATAAATTATTTATTTTACAATGATTAATAAATTTAAAAAAAAATTAAAAAATTTTTAACATGAATATTGATTTAGATTTGTGTCTAATTTATCAATTCATTATCAATTTATTACGTAAGTCGAGGATTAAATGCATATATTAGTTTATATATTATTAAGCTCAACAATATTATTTGCTAACTAACTAGTATAAAGCTTATGTAATGTTTTACAATTACACTATTGTGCGTTATAGAAAACAGTCCAATAAAGTACGAATTAGACTAATGAATGAAATTAAAAATCTCTAGTTAATCACTATTGAATCACTATTGAACAGTATTATTACAAAATGGTTCAACAATCATTTTTGAGAATTCTTAAACGCTTTAATCCTTTATTTAAAAAAATTAACTAAATAAAAATAAAAATTAATAATTAATGCTATCTATGATTTTTTTTTAAAGATATAGAAAGGAAATGATTCTCCAATCATTTAATGAACTTTCAAATGATTTTTTTTTAGAGAAACATGAATTATTCAAATTTCAATCTTCATTAAATGCGTTTTATTTATAAGATGCAATTAGGAATGTAATTGTAAATGCATTAGGAATATTTAAAATTTGTTTTTATCACGATAATAGTATAATAGTATAATTCTATTGATTTTAATCACCGGTATAAATTATTTTGAATACTTATTTTGAAATATCGAAATAAATTAAAATAAAGAAAAAACAAGATTTACATTTATTATTAATTCATAATTTTTATACGTAAAACATGTTTAAATTTCATAGGATACTGGAATTATCTCGCATAGACAATCTCTATGAAGTTACAAGTTGAGCTTATATAAACTATGGTTGCATTGATCTTATACGACATTTTTTTCGTATACATTTGATGGAATGATTTAACTTCATAATCTAGAGTATACACCTACCATAATCCTCTGAGCTAAAAATCGTACTTACGTATCGCGAATAAGAATATATTAATACAGTATTGTCACCAGGACCATGCTACCATAACATATATTATATATCTTATTGAACTTAAGGTTCTAAGATTGTACCATTTGATTTCCATTGCTAACTCTGTACGAATTGTAATGCTAATTTGTATCAAGGGGACATTACTGTGGCTAAAGACGGGAATATTTCTGCTTGTAAAGGTCCATAATCTACTCTTTCTCCATCTACCGTAATGTATCCATTGACTCCTTCTTCTGGTTCTATTCGAAATGCCTTTACTGGTATCATGTCGATGCCAGAACGCGTTACGTGAGAACCATTACTTAAGCCCAACAGGAACTAAGAAACACAATAAATAATTTAAAAAATTTTTAATTATCTTGAATTTTACTTTGTATCTAATTTAATTTTAATTTAATTATAATATTTATTAAATTTCTGATTTTCTGTTTCAATTCATTATTAATACTTATTTATAATTAATATTAGAATATCTTAATCTTATCTTATTTTATATTATATTTGGTTTCTTTTCTTCTGGTGAAATTATTTAACTTAAAATTTAAAATTTCAATACTTCAATATATATTTATTATTATATTTAAAATTATTTTAAGTTGAATGCGATCATAATTATTTAAATCGATTGGTTAACTTGATAATAACTTGATAAATTCCTAAAACAATTCAATCATGTACATTTTTTATTTATCGTTAAGTTAAATTATGCTATTGAAAAACTCATAAATCAATATAAATTTCAAAAATGCATTCAATTCTAAATTAATTGTTGCCAAAATCGTAAAATGTAACTGAATTCTAAAACTGCAAGTTTTTTGGCAATTTAGTTCAACTACTTATATTTGTATGATAATATGAAACTACGTATATAATAGTCATAAACTGAAAAAAGAAGGAAATAAATGAGTTTAAATTTTATAAAACCTGTTTCAGTTCATTATTAATACTTATTTATAATTAATCTTGATATTTTGTTCGTAATTCAAATATTTTCAATTTTTTTTATAATTTATTTCTACATAAATTATCTTAAAATCAATTATTTTCATTGATATATATTTCTTAATGATTATTATATTATATTATATATATAAATACTTTAATGAACAAATAGATCAAAGAAATTAATTTATTTTGTTAATAAGTAAATCAATATTTATGCCAGAAATATTTTTAATTATATTATTTTTAATTATACTATTTACCTGAAGCAAATTGGCTCGAGTAATTCCGGCTTTCACTATCATGAGCCAAATAATACCGTCCGCCAATTTGGCACGAGGTGCAAAGAAATAATCCTGGCCCAAATGAGATTGATATGCGGCATGAACCATAACAAACTCTCCTGAAATTGAAAGTACAAACAAGATTCATTAAATCACAATCAATATTTGATATTTATTGAATTTGTTATAATAATCTTATTCAATTAAAAATAATATAAAAAGAATATCATATCAATCAATTAAAATAAAATATTTTTTTGCAAATTTTTTTGTTTTGAGTTATATTTATATCGATATTTATATGTTCTTATTCACAAAAATGAATCATTCTAGCAATGTTATTTGCAACAAGATCTGTCCTTATTATTTTTTTTAATAAGAAGCAAATATAGCAGCATTTACTTCCTACTAAACAACATTATCATTTAATACCACAGGAAATAAAGTTTTATATTAATATATAATAAGATGCAAAATGTATGTAAACTATTTAAAAAATTAATTAATACATCTATTTTATTTATTTATATTTATTTTATTATTCATGATTTGATTTCATATACATATTCTATAAATCTTATTATTTCTAATAATTTCAAAAAGAATTATTGATGAGTGGACTTATTTTTATGAAAATGTACAAAATGTAGACATAAATATATATACAAAAAATATATATACAAAAATATATATAATATTTAAAACAAAATAATTATAATAATAATAATTATTAATAACAAAAAAAATTTCTATAGATATTCATAAAATTTATTTACAAACATCAAATATTTTTTCTTGTTAAATTCCTAGCAAAGAAAAATATATTAATGATACAATTTTTAAATTTTATTAAATATTAAAATCTTTTAAATATTGATTTTATATATTTACCCTGTATTTGTGTCCAGGAACTTGATACTTCTGAAGTTAGAGCCGGTAATCTCGATGAGGGACCATACATAACTTGATTGTTGCTGTCTTTTGTATCTTAATAATACATAGATTATTATTTAATTTGTATAATAATGTCCAATAAAATCAATTTTATAAGAAATAATTACTTTATAAATACTTTCAACAATTTTCCGATTAACATATTTTTGAATAATTAAAAAGTGGTACTTAATTTGTTTATTTCTTCTTCCTATATAAAAATTATATAATGATTTTCGTATAAAATAAATTTGTAACGTTAAAATAAATAAGATAATAAGATATAGAATAACATCAAAATAAATAATTAAATTAAATAAGTAAATAAAATGATAAAATAATTAATAATACACAATAAAAAAAACATTTCGTGGAGATATCAAAATTATATTAATATACAAATTGAAAACTTACCAATATTTTCATTATCGGGTTCATCAACACTATGGTAACTAGAAATTGAACCTGTACTAAAATAAGTCGATTTCGCAGATGTCGCAGAATAAAAACTGTCTAGCCTCTGTCTTCTCTCAATTTCTGTTTCCAAAGTAATATTTTCGCTTATTATTTCGTTATCATCGTAAATATCGGATGATCCATCTAAAATAGCAGGATCTCCATCGAGCGTATCGTGAAAACTCTTTGATTCACTGATTTTACTGTATCTAAATAATATGAAAAAAATAGATATTTTATAAAAATATATTTTTATTTATTTAAAGTAATAATTTTTTAATAAAATTATTTTATTTTCAAAACATAAAAATATAGATTACAAAATGTACGAAAATAAATCGCCTACTTGAAATCTTTAAATTGTAAAGTTGCCAAGAATTTCGCTGATGAATATAGGTCGGAAATATAATTTTTATACTCTTTTTTCTTTATATTTATATTACATTTCTGAATTTAACGTTATGTTTTTTAATATTATTTTTATTGAATCTATTAAGAATAAATTTGAAAGAATAAATATGATATTTTAAACTACCTACATATATTGATTATTATTTTAAATCTTTGTAAAATCTTTTCAAAATTCCACGAATTGAAAAATATATTTTGCTAATTTTGTGTATGCATATATTTTGGGAAAATTTGTAGCGATTCTTTTTTTTTTTACACGATAAGACTTACTTAAGAACTCAAGGTTTGTTTTATATTCAATGAGAAATTGGATCGAATCTCATATGACGACTTTAATGTAAATTATATACATATACAGGTTGTTTCGTGACATACATACGTATAAGTATGCAAATTAGCAATTTATCATTGATGTTTCATTCTCCTATAGACATTTATGAAGTTAACAAGACATATTTCTTGAGATATTAACTATGCAACATGTTAATCGATATAATTTTTTATTCTTCGAAAATATTAAATGTTTGCATAAAGATATTGTTATTTTAAAAGAGATGTATTTTAAGTTTCAATCTACATTGCTTATTTTATTATTTGTATCGAAAATTAAATTCATAAGTTCATTTTTAATATTTTTATCTCAAAATAAGTTTCTAATTTCCAATATAATGAATGACTTTTAGATTTGTTTTATCAATAAATTAACATTTTAAAATATTCATTGCAAATTGAAATTAATAACTTACAAAAATTTCTTATTTTCTTTATATAATATAACAAATTATATTAATTCACATATATAATATAAATGTTAATATATACTACTATTACATTATTACTGTATAATACAATTTAATTATTTGAAATTGAATAAAAAAATGTAATTAAAGTATATGTATAAAGTAGAATATATTATATAAAGCAATAAAAAAAAAATTATATTATAAATATCTAATATTCCTAAATATACACTATTTGGCAATAGTCTTTAAGATTCAAGGTAAACAACTAACAAGTTTTTTAAACATATCTTCTTAAATGTCCTTCTAGGCTATAGTTACGTTCACAATTTTTGATTTTTATTTTTCAATCCATTATATCATTATAATCCACAATTTCAATCAAACTTAAATCCGATAGTAATAGAGACAATTACTTTCAGATTTTTCTTTAAAGCAATTGCTTTAAATAATTACGATGTATTTTTACATTTATTTTAATCATTATAATTTTTTTATCATTATAAATGTCATTAAATATCATTAAAATATCATATCATTTCAATTATTCAATTTTGTATATTTTTGATAAAATCAAGATTGCCAAAAACTGCCATTTATGAACAATAGTATGGATAATGGAATTAAGATTGATAGAAAATTATAATTGTCAAGTTTTATCAAAAGATTTTCGTTGTTAGAGTATAGTACAGTCGATATAAAATTGATGTAAATTCTGTATTACTCGATATAAGATAAATTCAATTATTTTGAATGCAAAGATTATTTTATTTCTACACAAGCAATTTTCCACATGCAAATGATTAAGATAACGCATGACAGAACAATAACGTACCGATCTAAATCGTCGCCGCAGCTCCTTGAATGCGATATCTGCGTTTCCTTCGTATATTCATTGTAGGCATTTCCATTACCTAAACTCTCCACGGACGGTACTTTATCGCAAGGTAAATAAGACACCTTTCCTTTGTACGTTCTCAAGCCTATCAAACGGGCGATAGTCCACACAGTGAATCTCTGACCGCCTATTGCGCGTAAACGTTCGCTCTCAATGTCAATATCAGCAAGTAAACCCCATCCAACCGATAAAAATGAAAATAGAATCTGATTTCTGGTTTCAACGCGCACCAAATCCATCTGAGCTTTCTTGAATTTTACCACGGATAATGCACTGATAAGAAGAGGATTGTAATCGTATGGTTCCCTGAAACAGATTCAATTATATATTATTTTATTGTTTTATTTTTTCTTTTTTTTTATTATAAATATCATGTGTATGTGTGTTTGTGCAAATAAAATTTGAAAATTTTAAGAGATTCAGAAAAAAAGTGATAATGATTAAATAATGATATTCTTAATTTGTGAAAATTATAAATAAAATTACATTTTATTATTATATATTTATGTTATTTTTCAAATTTTAAAGTATTAAATATTAATATTAAATATTAAAAATTCTGTTAAATTCTGTGTTGTAAGTACTGTAATTTTATAAATTAAGAATTAATAATTTTCTAGAGAAATTTAAAAATTTTCAAGATATATTATTTAAAATAAATGCTTGTGTCTTCTTTATTCTTTATTCAATCTTTATTCAATGTTAGCATTAAGATGTTGTATCATTGAATAAATAGCTAGAAAATTTATACTGGGATTGTTATTAAGTAGATACAGAATTAACTTTTACTAGTATGTTGGCAAAAGAATTAATATTCATTAGTTTTTAAATTTAATTAATTCTATATTGGTTTTAAACCATAAGACATAGTTTTTTTTCAATATTCTAAAAATATTAATCATCTATGATTCCAAAAATATTGATTTGCAAACATTTACGTTATATTAAAAGAAATTTTAGAAATTCGTAATATTCATGAAAAAATAAATCTTCTACAATCTTTTACAAAATGAAAAAAGTTCTATTTGCCATGTGTAATGTATGAATGGGCCACAAGAAATAATTATAATCTAATGGAATTTTTTTCTTTCCATGAATGTAAATGAAAACTATCTACAAGTGTTATCGCTTCGTTTTATCCAATTGCCTTCAGTCTTGAATGTAAAATCAATATTAAATTAGTTAAACCAGGAAACTTTGAAAAACCTCAATTGCAGTTTCATATTTATTTTCAACTTTTTTTTTTATCATAATAATCTTTATTTTTCATTTGTGTTCATTCTATGTTTTTCCCATATGGAAAATTTTTAATGAAAAAAATTGAATATCCTAAGATAATTATTTTTTTTCAATTATCATATTAATATATATATATATTTTAATAATTAAATATTATTAAAATATATAAAATATATAATTCATATTTTCCGAATTATTTTATGATCAGTTCTATCGTATTATTAAAAAAGATAATGTCAAAAAGCTAAAACGTATTCCTGAACAATGATACGAACAAAATTGAGCAAGCCTCTTTACAATTCATTTATCTTATTACGATTAAAGAATAAAGTTTGAACAAAAAGTAAGGACACGCGTACTCGGTATAATGATCGACATGTTGTGCTCGACCTCGCCAACACTTGTTTAAAACGACAAACATGCACGCGGTTGAAAATACATATTCAATATTAAAAATCTTTTCGATCATGCACATTTTATTCATTATCTAAATACCTTGAATTTTTTTTATTATTTTCATTTATCATCTTATTTGTAACTGGATATAGCAAGAATTATATATACGTAAAAAAGATACTGTATACGTGTGTTCACAAGAACAAGTGTCAAACACATCGATATTACATGTGTTTGATAAATGATGTTTTTAGTTTTACGTGTGTATGATTGTATATGTTGCGTTACATAAGATATATAACGTCATACTAACTAGTCATACATATATAGAACAATATGCTCTCTTATCATAATGATAAGCCAATATAAATAACGATTATCTCGTAACATGTAATGCTTATTTTTTGTGAAGTACTAATAAAATTTAAGTATTTGGTTAATCCTGAAAAAATGTGCTGATAATATTGTGAATAAACAATTATTCTCGAATTAAAATAATATTTTTATAAATATTATAAATAATATTTTTATAATAAATGAGAAAAAAAAATAAAAATACAAATATTTGCAAACTTATATTTATATATATCTTGTAATAATTTAAATGTAAAATGAAATTTTTTGTAAATATTTTTTTAATTATTCGAGGTAATAAATGAATAGTTAAGTGAAAAAACTCTTACACGATTCTTTAAATAGACATGAAACTCATAAATGTTCTGAGATGGAAATTTTCTATTAATTGATCCATGACACTTCATCTATTCATAGGAAATAATACTATTATCTTGTTACATTGTATTTAATGATACTTCGAAAAATAATATTCTAATATATTAACATAAAAATATAACATAGAAATTAAATGTAATAATTGTATACTTATCATAACAATTAAAATTATCATAACAATTAAAAACAATTTTGTATACGTTCATAATTGTCTTATATGTTATTTTTAAAAAATGATGATAAAGTAAGAAGTTTTTTTTTACTCTAGCGGATGAAATAAAAATGATGGGAAAAGATAAATCGAGGATAATGAAAGCAAATTGAATTTGACAAAAAATGCAGGGGATACGTGTAGCCTCCGGTACATTAATGAATAAATGGAAATTAGGTCGATTAATCGTTAGTTTTTGATTAAATTATCGTATCGTATTGTTAAAAAAATGAAATTTTTATCACATATTATCGTTAAATAATTATAATTATAAACATTAAGTTGATTAGGAAATTTACAACATACTGAATTAAATTTAAGCCAATTTACACGTACAAAACTGTAATAAATTAATATAAATTTTTATTTTGAATTTTTCTTTTTTGAATTTATGCCTTATCTTGTTATGAATTTTTTTTATTTTAAAGTTAAAAAAGATTAAAATGAACAAAATATGTACAAATATACATATATACATATATATGTTCAAATTACAACTTGTCTGTCACGAAATCATACCAATTTACGAGATAAATTGGCAATAGTGACTGGCTATTAAGTGATGTTATGTCGCGTACATTTGTATAATTAACCCTTTGCACTATAACAATATATTTGAACCAATATAACGTAGATTGATACACTCGCGTACTTTCTTTAAATGAAATTGTTTATACTTTCTCTATATGAGAAACATAGAGAACAACATTCTATTAAAGTTAAGTTCTATTAAGTCTATTAATATTTATAAAATTTTTTTTATATTTAACCTAATCCCTAGAATTCTGAAATTCAAGGAATACAAAACTTCAATTACATTACCGATCTTGTATAATTATAAAACATTATTAAAAAAAAATAAATTTATAAAAAAGATTTTTAATAAAGATATTCAAAGGCACAAAAAATAATCGAGAAAATGCTCTTCACGAGAATTTGGATAAAAACAAAGATCGAAAACCTTAGAAAATCCCATTGTCCAGTGAAATTGCACAAACTATCTTCTGCATGCATGCAAATAAACCGAACGAGCCCGGTTGCAGACAGAAATAACGACTTCCTCGGGACAGCCGAGCCAGACACATAAAATAAATCACGGACCCGGATGATTCTAAAAGGGACTTACTGTTTAGCGTACGCGATGGATTTCGCCAAGCCATTACCGGAACCGCAGGGTATCACGCCAAGGGGTAATTCCTTCAGAGCTTTCTCCCAATCGGGCCTCTGAAAAAGTCCATTTACTACGTCGAACACTATTCCGTCGCCCCCGACCATCACGAGTCCGCTCCATTGATAGATGTCCCTCGTATGCACGAACTCGCGTGCGTAATTGGGACACTTGGTGACGTGAACCTCATAAGGCCTCTCTGCTTCCGATAGAATCGGATGGATTCTTTTCTGGAAGGTTTCTCGGCTTCTTCCCGGTCCAGATTTCGGATTCAGCAATACTAGTATCTTTCGTTGCTCGCCTGGACAAGCTGTAATCAATTTCCATTATTTTTTTTTTCTTTTCTTTCTTTTCTTTCTTTTCTTTTGTACAGGTATTTCCAATATTATATAGATATGTTGTAATTGTGATGAGAGGAATAAAAAGTGATTCTATGGGGGAAAAAATAAATCGAAAATAAAAATAGGGAATAAAATTTTCAAGTAGTAAATGAAATTGTTTATCGATCAGATATGAATTAATTATTTGATAAAAGTAACGATTTACATTGATTTATTTTTTTCACGAAACTAACTACCTGATTGGTTACCATGAATAATTTTGTATATCGTAAAGTTGTCTTGATGATAATGTAACTAAAAATTTATAGTTTTTTGAGTTATTAATATTACAGAAGGAAGCATTGCTTATCGGTGAGTTTTGAAATCAGTGAATTCTAATTTTAGTATTTTGATGTTATGTTCTTATGTTTGAATTTAAAATTGTTTTTCTTAGAATAGTAATTTTGGAGTTATTTCATTATAGCAAGTGTGAGATGACCATGTAATAAAATATTTCGAAATTTAACATGTAATCAAAAGTATGGAAATATCGTTGACAACCTCGATGATATTATTAATGTAAAGATTTTATAATTAATATTTAAAGTCTTTCTACTATGTTTTTTTATTATCATTTACATAAATTACATTCACTTGACAATATCTTAAAATATGGACTCGTATTAAACATGTATTTATTTCTATGCAGATTTCTTGACAATTATTTTAATTTCAAATTCATAATTCATTAATTCAAAATTGATTTTTCAATTTTTAATGATTATATTCTCAACCCCTTTATTCATTAAATCTTTTTTCATAATTTTAAGATTAAGATAAGAAAAAATATATATTAATTTTATGATAAAAATTTTAAAATTGTATAATTACAATTTCAGATTTATGTTTATTATATTCATTATTTCTCAGAATATTTTAGAAAATATTAGGAAAATTATATACTTTTAATTTTAATTATGAACAAATTTCGAATATAAAATTTAAAATTTTTATAACAAGAATTTAAATTGAAAAAATTTCTAAAAGATTTCTAAAAGATACATGTCACGATACATCACGTATATAAAAAGAATTTAATACATACATTTATTTTTATGGATTGATTGTAAAATATAAAAATGCAAATTTTACGACAAAACTTTAATTCGCATAATATCATATATATATAAATAGTATCTGGTCGAAAATAGAGAGAATTTCTACAAAGTGGGAAGTTTCTCTGGACGATTACGTGACGTGTAACGCAACGAGCGTATTTATTCTTTGGAAGACGACGTTGCAGTCGTCGTAGCAACCCCCTTTGCAGAGATTTCTCTGCAGTTTCATCGCGTTCGATTAATATGAATAATTCGTTGTAAATATCTTTTAATATAGACCAATTCACTTATCATGAAACATGGTATTCTTCGAATATTTTATTTTCTATGTTATATGTTTTTTGATAATCGCAAATTTGATATACGATTATTGTTCGATTTATTTGTAATTTATTTACAAGGCTGAACATTTTTATAATTGATAACTTTGATATATTTTTTCGCTTATAATTAAATTTAAGTTATTAAAATCTGATTAAGACGAACAGGAAGGAAATAGAACAAGAAAAAAATTGAGAATTGAGAATATAATAAATAAATAATTGGAAATTTTGAGAATTTCTTAATTAATGATAAATTATCAATTATCGATTGATATCATTTCAATAATTAATTCTCACTATATATTTTCCCTATCAAATTATCCAAATAATCATATTAATGAGAATTAAAATATTATTTAAATTAATTCATTTCATTTCATTCTTTCTTTTGATTTTTTTTACAATTTATTTTCTATTTTTTCTATTTTTCATCGTTGGAATACAATAATAATAAAATTTTTCTCTAACATTAATTTTTTTTATCATGATGAAGTATCTTATATATCTGCGTTAAATAATTATCAACGGCGTTAATTACGGCGTTTCTGTTTTCTTATTTCTATCAATAATTTATTTTTTAATTAATTATTTTTTTATTATAAAGTTTATCTATCTATTATTTATTATTTATCTATCTACTACTATTAATTAAAAAAAAATAATTGTCAATATTACGTATTTTCTTTTTATCGACATTAGTATGTATATATTGACACATATCAGGATTTAATACTCAATAAATTTCGTCTTAGAGATGAAAAATACAATATATATAAATATCTATATATTTATGTATAATATTTTAAGAAGAATAAAAGAATAAAAGAAAATATATTTGCATTTAAAATTTTATCGTTTCAAAATTTTATCATACTATAAAACATTCTAATAACATAGACTTTATTTTGCAATAATTGAATTTATAAGAAGTTACTTTTGTAAACAAATATGACTGAAAATAAAATTTATATAATTTCTGATGAAACGATCATACGTAATATGTGTAAAACTTAATAATGATTGTTTAAGATCTCTAAATTTTTAGAACAAGGAAATCAATAGTTTATCCCGATTTCCGGGAGAAAACTGGAAATAGGTTATCGAGATGACGCAAGGTATACGACTTTCAAACGTGAATGCAATTCCTTTAAAATGGACAATTTAAACAGGATCTACTTTCATTTACGTAGTAGTTATGCATCGTTAAACGCAACTAGTGAAAGTATAAGCTAACAGATATAAACTAGCAACGATAAAAGATCTAGAAATCGAGAAAAACTTTCAAAATTTAACAAACATCATTTACATAATATCATAAATCATTATGTGATAATGTTTGTATAAACATATCTTGTCTACTCTAATATCTTAAAAAATACGTACGAAAGTTTCTTTATTTATATATTAAATATGCTTTATTTCACTACATTCTTAATTAATTAATTTCACAAAGTTTAGTTAAAATTGTAACTGATTTAATCAACGTAAAATTTTTGACGATTCAATTATTATATATTTTTTTTTATTATGTATTATATATGAAATCACATAATGATTTAGAGTAAATGTCTGATAGTGACTTATTTTTAAATGTATTTGCATCTTTCTTTTTTTTCAAATGGCACAAAAGCATTCTCGAAAAATGATAAGCATGATCACTATTAAAAAACAAAATTATTGACAAGATAAAATTCCAATTAGGATGCGAATCATTATCTATTATTAAGAATAAATATATATATATATA